AGCCTCTGCAGGAGGTGCTGCTCCTGGGACGATGGGCTCCTCGGATGTCACCGGGGTCCTAAAAGGGATCTATAGGGTTCCTTAACATGGATCTATAGGGTTTAGGGTTTAGGGTCTACTTGGAGGATCATGGGACTTAGTAAGTAAGGTTTTAAGTAAGGGGACTATACTTATAAGTGTTTATAACCCCAATTAAGGCACTTATAACCTTACTAAGTCCCATGATCCTCCAAGTACCCCTTTAAGTGTTCCTTTAAGGGCTCCTTTAAGGGACGTAAGGCTCCTCTTCAGGGTCTGACCCTGGGGGTTCAGGGTTTAGGGGGTCTAAAGGACCCAAGAATTGGGTACTCGGCTTTAGGATAGTACTCATGTAGTTTAGGAGTTTGGAGAATATATGATTATTTGGGTACTTGGACCCCTTCAATAACTCCGTCCTCAGGGATCGAGACAGGCTTTCGGGACCCTATTGTCATCTAGACTCTGCGTTAAAGCTTCGTGCTTGCTGAGACTCCGGTGTAATCTCCAAGTCCGCCGGGCTTTGAATGGCAGGTAACGACTTGAGCGAGCTGTCAGGTACGTCGCCTGTGCCTTCGTCAGCGAGAACCTTGGTTTCAAGGCTGCTTGCCAAGAGCGCTCGCAAACACAACACAGTCGAAATGGAACATATGTGCATAATTATACATATTTATACACACATATTTAGGTATATCGATATATCTAATCATGTGTGTCTAATTTATGTCCACATGTGTTGCTATATCTATCTCTATGTATTTGTGTATATATGTATACATACGCATGCATATAATTACTTAAAGGAACAGAGAGAGATAGAGAGACAGAGAGAGAGAGAGAGAGACAGACAGAGAGAGAGAGAGAGAGAGAGAGAGAGAGAGAGAGAGCGAGCGAGAGCGAGAGAGAGAGAGAGAGAGAGAGCTTGTCGACTAGCTGTTGTCTTTCGTGCCTGATGGTGGTGCGCCTCCAAACGGTCCAAACGCCAAAGTACCGAAATGTCCTAGAAGGTACACGCTTCTCAGCGATGTCGGTTCCTCTGTCTTTCCAAATTGGAGTGGATGCTGACGTACGTATTTATTTAGAAGTCTCATGTCCATGTACAGTCAGATATAGAAACTGCATCGATGCGCCTCTACATATATCACATGTCTACACATACATGCATACATGCGTACATACATACATGCGTGCATGCATACATACATACGTAAATACATACATACATATGCAGGTGCATACATACATGCAGCATTTTCACATACGCACGTACTTACATGCATGCAGCATTTTCCCAGGCTACGTTTCCTGTCGAGCCAAGCGACCGAAGCAGGCGGTGGATCCACCTTGGCCGTCGAAGCCTCCTGCAGTTCCGTCTTACCTGGGTTGTTCTCTTTGGCCATCATTCACAAAACATGTGGGAGTTTCCGAAAAGTAGGGCTACCTCATTTTGGGGTCCATGTAATAAGGATCCTATTAAGGGTACTACATTAGGTTCCCCTATTTTCGGAAACTCCCATATAGTTTTTTTGTGCATGATAAACTATGTGACTACTTGGAGGATCATGGGACTTAGTAAGTAAGGTTATACATAGGGTAACTATACTGATAACTACTTATAACCCCAATTAGGGCACTTATAACCTTACTTACTAAGTCCCATGATCCTCCAAGTAGACCCTAAACCCTAAACCCTATAGATCCCTTTAAGGAGCCCTTTAAGGGAACCCTTATAGAAACCCTTATAACCCTTACTTACTAAGTCCCATGATGGCCCGGAGCTGGGAAAGTACTTATAGAGCCCTAACACCTCGTAGTGCAAACTACGACCCCCAAAACCCGTAACTCTAATCCCTAAGCCCTAATCCCCAATAAACCCTTCTAAACCCCAAATAAACAAAAAACTCTGCCAAATCCATCTTCGAGAGCCCTCCGCCGGTGGCGGCGCCGGCGGCGGTTCGTCGCAAGCAGGAGCCGGCGCCTCCTCCTATCAAACTCGTTTCGGTTTAGGTTAGGGTTTAGGGATTTAGGGCTTAGTGCGTTAGGGTTTAGGGCCAGGGCAAACTCGTTTTGGTTTAGTTGGTTTTAAGGATTTAGGGCTTAGGGATTTTTAGGGTTCTGGGGCTTTAGGGTTTAGAATTTCAGGGGCCTTCCAAACTCGCGTCGGTTTAAGTTAGGGTTTAGGGTTCCTTTGAAGGGTACTACAAGGGGCTCTTGGGTATTATAGGGAGGTATAGGGCTTGGGTTTTTTTGGGTTTAAGGCTTTAGGGTTTAGGAGTTCAGGGGTTTGGGGGTCTGGGGTTTTAGGGTTTGAGGGCTTTGGGCTTCTGCAAACTCTTTCTTTTGGGGTTTGGATGGGTTTGGGGTTTAGGGGTTTCGGTGTTTGGGGGTTTGTGGTTTCGGATTTACAGTTTAGGGCTTCTTGGGGTTGGGGTTTAGGGTTTCTCTGGTTTAAGGTTTACGGTCTAGGCGGTAGGCATATGCATGCGGTTACGAATGGAAGGGCTATAGGATTTTCGCGTCCTTGACAGGGTTTTACACGGCCTCCAGATCTGCCCAACGGAGATGACCCTAGGGTCCCTTTAAAGGGTTCCTTAAGAGGGTTCCTTAAGGGGATCTATAAGGGTTCTATAAAGGGTTTAGGGTTAGGGTGTCACAGGCTTCATGATGATCTTAGAGAGAAGCGGGCTTTGCAGACTTAAAAGGGTCCTACTTCTCTAATCAAACTTTAAAAAGGTTGTCGAAAGGTCAAGAGGGTTGCACAAAAACTGACAAGGTCTTTAAAACGGGACTGCAGATAGTATAGTTGTATGAGGACTCGTTTATGTGCTTGAAGTCGTTCTTAAAGATTAAGGGATGTCAATTGTTGCGGGCATTTCTAGTGTTGCAGGAGAGATGGAGGCTACAGGGAGGCATGATTCCAGTTGTTCTGTTACCAGCGGAGGGGCTTAATATCATAGTGTAGAATAGAACAGAATAAGCTAGACTATAATAGAACATTATCTAAGATACCATAACATAGTGTAGTACTGTATGGCATAATAACTTCAACCGGTGAAGCTCTCAGCTGAGAAACGTTTACGACAACTCTGCAGCTGCATAGCAGGAGGCTCAGAAACAACCCTTACAGAACCCTCAAAGGAACCTTCAAAGGAACCCCAATTTGAACCTACCCAGAGAGCCCAATAACTCTCAACTAAGGAACACAGCTTAAAGTGTATTATGAAGCCGCTTGTAAGTTATGGCTCTAAATTAAGGAACATAGCTGAAAGTAAAATCTGAAGCCGCTTATAATTTAAGGTGTATTCCTTAATGAATGGGTTTTGGGGTCTCTGGGCACAGAGATGCATCGATCCTTTGGCTGTGCTGTCTCAGTAGAGTCGTTCGTCGGCTTCTGCCCAGTCGACTCTGATGTCGCCGTGAAGTCTCTGTAGCCGCCATCCAGGAACAGCCTCCGACTCAGGGTTGAGGGGCTTAGGTATTTTGGGTTTAGGGTTTAGGGTTTACGGGTCTTACTATATAGGGGCCTTCATAATTACCAATACGATTTTGGTGGTCCCTTATCATAATTCTAGTATAATATATCCCGACACCCTATTTCAAGTAGTGTTAAAGGCCCTTATATTATAGAACCCTACTATAGATCCCTTTCAGACCCCTTTTAAAGATCCCTATAAAAGGAATCCTGTTCTAATTATTAAGGCTCCTAGAGTAGGTAAGACCCCTACCCAGAGAACCCAATACCCCGTAATTAAGAAACAAATATACCTTAAACCACAATATGAAGCCTCCTGTAGTTTAAGGTCTAATCCTTAATTAAGGGGTATTGGGATCTCTGGGTATATTACATGCTTTGAGGCGTCTATTCTAAGGATCCCCCGCCTGGCCATGAACCGGTACGGATCGGTCGGCTGATCCTCGATGACGGCCTGCAGCACTGCCTGGAATCATAGGGACCCTTAAAGTAAAAGCCAGAAAGTTGGAATATGATTATCCTAAGCCCTCTATGGTAAATTATAGGGTATCCTACCCTGAAACCATATTCCAACTTTCTGGAGTTCCCCTTAGGGGGGTAGGGGGAGGAGGGGTAGGGGCCTTTTGTAGGGGCCTTTTCGGCCCATAATAAGGACCTAATAAGGCCTATTTAAGGAAGTATAGTCCCCTACCCCCCTCTCCCTTACCCCCCCTAAGGGTCCCTATGATGGAAGCTTACCGACATGTTCCGAGGGCTCCGAAGAACATAGTAAGCGGGTGTAGGGTTTGAGGGTTTTTGGGTTGTAGGATTCGTGCACTTCGGGGTTGGGTTTTGTTCGGCTTCATTGAGGATTTGTACAAGCTACATACTAGGCTCAGTCTATCATCCTTCTGGATCTTTGAACACGTGACGCGGGAAGCACAGCTTGCCAGAGAGAGAAGTCACAGAGCCGGAATTCGCGCTCCCCGCCCCGTCCTACATGAGGAGTGCCCTCAACCCTAAACCCGAAGTCCTAAACACCCTTTGCGACAGCCAGCAACCCGGCAATTGCGTGTTTTCGGCTCAGAATTTGGGTTCTAAAGGTGGCTAGCTGTCATGCAAGACCCCTCTGCAGCCTGCACGAAGCTGAAGATGCCGTGGTGCTCCAGATACTCCTTTGCCTCAGGCTCTGGCGGGATCACCATCTTTGGAAGCTCGGATATGGGACTGCTTCTTCTTTCAATGGCTACTCAGAGATCCCAATACCCCTTAATTAAGGATTATACCGTAAACTATAGGAGGCTTCATATTGTGGTTTAAGGTATATTCCTTAATTAAGGGGTATTGGGTTCTCTGGGTAATGGGATTTGTTGGGCTCACTTGCAGCAATGCTGGAAAACTCAGCAGATGGGGATACATGCACCAGCAGGCTGTGGCCTTTTAGCACCGCAGAGCTCATCTGTCGACCATCCCACTGGAAAACCTTTTACGAGAAACGCTTCTGGCAGTTCCATGCCATCTGAGTCGTCGATGCTCACTTGATCAGGGGGTTGGCGAAGAGAAGCACCAGGGCGATCACCAGGCCGTAAATCGTCAGGGACCTCGTAATGGAGGTGCATCAGCAGTGGGAATAAGGGTCTGATATAGGACAAGCTGTATTAATCGAAGGATGCAGCCTTGAAAATGTGCAGGCCATTCGCCTCATGAGGAATATGTCGATGAGAGGACTTCGCCTCTTCTCTACGTGCAAGATTACAACAGCGATTCGTAGAGATGTTTTCGCCTTAAGCCCTAAACCCAAAAAACCTAGGCCCTAAAACCACCAAACCCTAAAGCTTTGTGTGGTCAAGAAACTCCATGAAGGCCAAGGAGAGGAGCAAGACGCCACGGAGGTCGTCAGCAACCTGTGGGCAGTCTTTACAGGGATTTCGGGTTTAGGTTCTGTATTCTTGAGAGAGTTTTACAGGGGCTCCCAGACCTCCAACCCACAATGGAACCTTATAAGACAGCATAAAGCCCCAGTACACCCTACACCCTGAACCTTGTAGCAAGCGACCCTGAATAGTAATTTTGTAGAGGCCTGAAAGACCCTGAACCCTAAATCCTTTGTCTAGCCGACCTCGTATGGAAAGTCTAAACATCGGGATCCCTACCCTATAACGGGCTGAATAATGGGTATATAATAGCTATATTAAAGGTTTGTACCTAAGGGGTCCTTACGAAGGGTCCCTCCTTTTGTCCTTGGAATACGCAGCCTTCCAAGGCCTTAACACCCAGGGGCCCTTATCCAGGTTGGCCCTTTTCGCCTTTGAAAATATTCGTAAACAGGGTCCTATTCACCCAACAAGGGACAAACACAAAATGTCCCGGAGGCCTACCTAGTTATAGATACCCTTCCCTGGGCATCAAAATAGCCCAAAAGCCTGATATAGTATGGTCTTTGGGCCCAAAAGCCTTAGTATATGAGTCCTTAGATGCCTAAATCCTATAGATCCCTTTGAAGGACCCCTTATATAGAGCCCCTTTAAAGGAACCCTACATGAGTCCTTACATGCCTAGGGCTTCTGGCGAGCCTTAGAGTCACCCTTCCCGAGCGCTATACAGCACAGAAAGACCTGGAGCCTGGGGCCTGATCCAAATTCTCTGTGTGTGTGTGTGTTGTTTCTTTTTTTGGGGGGGTCTGTCTTACAGCACATGTTCCTGATACAAATATAGTGTATATATTATATAAAAAAATTCATCTTCCTTATAGTGTTAGTATATATTTCTGTACATACATCTTATATACGTATGTATATATACATATATATGTAAGTCATATTCCTTCTGGTTAGTACATATTCCTTATAGTTTACAGGGGGCCAAAGAGGTCCACAGGTTCGATCCAACCTCATTAGGGCTCCTTATATGAATCCTACTATTTTGGGGGTTATAGGCCCAGGGTTTCTTCATCAGGTTCCTACATTATCCCTACCCAAAGGCCCCAAAGTAGTTCCTTTTTTGGGGGTTACCTCATAGGATTCTATATATGAATCCCAAAAAGGAACTACTTTGGTGCCTTTGGGTAAACCCTGAATCCTAAACCCTAAGGCCCTAGTCTAGGTCCTACTTGGAGGCCCTTTTGACTTAGTAAGTAGGGTTAGTAAGGTGGGTTATGGGGATTATAATAGGGTTTCTAGGGGATACTAAGTAGACATACTAAGTCAACAGGGCCTCCAAGTAGGTCCTAGGTTTGATTCACTTCGGACCTCGGGCTGCCGGGAGATGCCATCGATACAACGACCGGAGGCGATACCCTGGCCTTGGCAAATCTTCAGAGAACCCATTGGGGGCCCTTTTGACTTAGTAAGTCTACTTAGTATCCCCTAGAAACCCCATTATAATCCCCATAACCCACCTTACTAACCCTACTTACTAAGTCAAAAGGGCCTCCAAGCAGAGAGCCCAATACCCACTTAAGGCTCCCTTAAAAAGGCACCTATAAGGGTTCTTTAAGGGAATTAAGGAATATGGCTTACATTCTACCCCTTAATGAAGGGATCTATAGGGATTAGGGGTACCTTATTTTGGGGTCCTTGTAATCAGGATCCTACCATTTCGGGTACTATATTAGAGTCCCCAGAGAGCCCTATGTACCCCTTAATTAAGGAATATACCTATAGCCTATAGGGTTTCTTTAAAAGGGGGTCTAAAAGAGATCTATAAGGGATCTATAGGGATTAGGGTTTCCGATATCCCTGAATGAAGGAACATGGCTTAAATTATAAGGGGCTTCATACTATGATTTAAGCTATATTCCTTAATTAAGGGGTATTGGGCTCTCTGGGTCTGAAGGCATTTAACCTAAGCTACCATTATAGGGATCTATAGCGGATAAAACCCTAAACACATGGTTTCTTTATTATTATTGTTATTATTATTATCATTATTATTATTAGTATTCTTGCAACTAAATTCCTTCTTGTGAAGGCGTTTTGACTTAAGTTATCATAGCTGGGACATATAAGGGTCCCTTTAAGCGATCCATACGGGCTCCTTTAATGGGTTAGGGTTTAAGGTTACCATAATTTAGAGTTCCATTGAGGGTACTATAAGGGTTTAGGAATTTAACTTAAGTTACCATAGTTTAGGATTCCAATAAGGGTTCTAGGGTTAAGGAGTTTAACAAAAGTTACCATCATACGGATCTATAGTGGATAATATGGTTTCTTTATTCTTGTAGTAACTAACTAGACCTAAGAGTAACCTAGGAATAAAAAGGGTGCCCTTTTTGGTTGAAAGGGGGTTTGTAAGGGAACCTAAACACTCAAAAGGGCAAAAAGGGCCTACTCTGGGTCCTAGCTAAACCGTAACCCCAAGTAACCTACCTTTTTAAGGGCTCATATAAAGAAGTCATATTAGGGAACCCTAAAAAGGCAGGTTCCTTAGGGTCCAGGAATTCCTTAACAAAAACCCAGTGGCCCACGCCGGAGCCGATGGCCGCGAGGCCGATGGCGAAGCCTGCCGGAGGGGTTTTAAGGGTCTTTGGGGCTTATAGGAGTCCTTTAAAGGGATCTATAGGGGATCTATAGGGTTTAGGGGTCCTTTAAAGGGATCTATAGGGGATATATAGGGTTTAGGGTTCCTTTAAAGGGATCTATAGGGGATCCATTGGGTTCTGGTTTAGGGGTCTAGGGTTCCTTGAAAGGGATCCTTTTATGGGTACTACTATAGGGGCATTCATGATTACGGTTTAGGGTTTTAGGGGTTTAGGGTTTAGGGATTGCAGGGGTTTAGTATAGGGTTTGGGGTTGCGGGTTTAGTTGAAGTTTCAGTGTTGAGTCGTTCAGGGGTGTAAGAATTCAGCGGTTTAGCATAGGGTTCAGGGTTCGGGGGTCTAGGGTTTAGGGGTGTGGAAACAATGTGTGCACAGGGCTCAGCGCTTCCTTTTCATCCGCTTCATCAGCTGAAGAATAGAAATTTTGGGAAATGCATGAATCGAGACAAAATCAGAACATCGGATTCTGGGTCGAACAAATTAGCCTGCAAATGCTGGGCCGACAAGGGATCGACCATCCCAATGCCGAACCCCTCGTACAGTACAAGACAGGACCACCCAAAACCCGGCCTGCCCCAATGGCGGAGAGCGCTGGGATCCACACGGCACCCTCATCTGCAAAAGCCTGGGTTCTTGCTAAGGAATTTAATTTAAGTTACCATTATAGAGAAACCATATTACTTACTGTAAGTCAGTACAGTAACATGGTAGTGTAAGTTAAATTCCTAAACCCTAAACCCCTAAATTCCCAAACCCTAAACCCCTAAATTCCTAAACCCTAAACCCCTAAATTCCTAAACCCTAAACCCCTAAATTCCTTAACAAACATCCCAGAAGCGGGGTTCGGAGCCACGAGCGTGACAGCACTCAGGGCCGCTGCCGTTCCGGCCGTTCCAGCCGGTGCCGGAGAGCTGCGAACCTAGGTTGGCCATTTAGGGTTTAAGGTTCCTTTAAAGGGATCCATAAGGGTTTAGGGTTTAGAGTTTAGGGTTCAGGGGTTTAGGATTTAGGAGTTTAGAGTTTAGGGTTCAGGGGTTTAGGAGTTTAGAGTTCAGGGTTTAGGAGTTTAGGAGTTTAGGGGTTTAGGGGAAAGCCTCTGAAAAATACTCGTAGATAGTATCCTCTTAAGCCGAATCAGTGAAAACATAGAATGTCCCAAAAGCCTACCGAGGAACTGCCGGGACGAAGGCGCTGAAGAGTGCCCCGGAGCAAAGGAGCACGGCACCGGTCAGCACCTTAGTTGCTGAGTTCATAAGCCGCCCAAAAGTGTACACTTTTAGATTTATATAGTGGGTAATATTAGCCCAAAAGTGTAAAGTGTATGCACTCAGCTACTACTAGACCCAAGAGTAACCTAGGAATAAAAAGGGTGCCCTTTTTGGGGTAAAGGGGGTTATAAGGGAACCTAAACCCTGAAAAAGGGAATAAGGGCCTACTCTGGGTCCTGGACTAAGGCACGAAAGAGCGGACCATCTTTCTCACAGGTCGGATGATTGGATGCTCCGGTTGCTCAGCACACTCCGCTGCTTGTCTTGAGCCGACATTGCAAGGACAGAGCAGGCGGGCCTAAATAATGACCAATAAAAAGTCCTGGCTTCCCTATCATAAGTATACAGTATAGTTATACGTATGTATGTATGTATATATATATACACACACCCAAAGCACTGTTCTAGATATGAAGGCCTAAATAGTAGGTACATGTGGGGGGTCTTCATAATTTCCGATCCTACTTGTCAGCGTTCCCGGGCTGTTTGGCAAACCGACGATGCTGGGCTGCCTCCTCTAGCCGGTTAAGGGTGCAGGGTTTGGGGGGTTCAGAGTTGACGGTTTTAAAGGTTTAGGCTTTAGGGTTGCTTCAGCCTCCTTGACATCTCCTTACCCCTCCACTCCCCTCCCCTAAAGCCCTTGTAGCAACCCTTCGGGAAACCCTGGTCGTGACCCTTCTAATGGTCGGTGCACTCCTTGAACAACCCGAAGCCATCGCTGCCCAGTGGCACCCTTTGCGCTGGCCTTTGCTACGATCGGATCCTGACAGAGGAGGCATACAGGGTTCCTTTAAGGATCTCTTTGAAGAATTCCTTGAAGGTTCTGTACACTCCGTACAAATACTATAATAGGGTTTAGGGTTTTAGGGTTTAGGGCTTTGGGAATCCTGGCTAAGTGTCGCATTCTGCAGTTGGTCGCTTCTCCTACATAGGTTTCGTCGTCTTTCCTAAGGATAGTTTTAGGTTTTACTGCTTGGGGTTGAGTGTTCAGAGTTTAAGGTTTAGGGTAGTTTACTTTTATCTTAAAGCTTGTTGTAGTGCCTAGGGCTATCTTTACACAATTCTGTCATGTTTTGCAGTGTGTTGATGGGCCTTGTGCGGTTTCAGCAGGGCAACTTGTGGCTTCGGATTTCTTTAAAGCTTCTTCTGATTGTACCGGGGTGCCGTAAGAGTGTCAGCGTTGCTTCGAAGGTATTGGGGTCTATGGAACTCAAGGCACTTTTGGTATTCGTACCTGGTGTGCTTGCTGGTTGAGAGTTTAAGTTTCCTTTGCTAGCTGCTGCAGCGAGCAACTTGCCGGAGCACTTTTAACCTTCGGGTTCACGAGAATGGCGAATACTTAGAGGATCATGGGACTTAGTAAGTAGGGTTAAAAATAAGGTAACTATACTTATAGCTACTTATGACCCCAATTAAGGCACTTATATCCTTACTTACTAAGTCCCACGATCCTCAAGTGAGAGTGCTGAAGGCTCGGGGGCTTTCGGATCTTGCAAGGCACTGCACAAGGTAGCAAAGCCCCGCAAGAGAAACACCAGCAACGGCTGGCCATTGCATCGAACTTTGACTCGCAAGAAAGACAAACAGACGAATAGACAATAATCGCCAATGAGACTTTGCAATATCCAAGTTGCTGCTGATCTTGAGGCTTGGAGTTTAGAGCTTGCCGGGTGTGCCTGCAGCACGTGCCTCACGGTACTGGTCACCTAACTGAACTTAAGAGCCTCACCGTGTCACCACACTGCTTTGGGCCCAAAACGCTTCGACGCATCCCAAATCCCTAAACACCCCTGAATTAAACCATCGAATTCCGAACTCCTCAACCCTAAACCCTAGACCCCTAAACCCAAAACCCCTCAACCATAAACCCTAAACCCCTAAACGCTAAAACCTAAAAGAGTTTACCCTACACCCTAAACCCTAAATCCGAAAAGCAAAAAGGCTTCAAGCAGCACGGTCCTGGCTTTCTCTCCGTTGCTCGCCGGCAGCTTTGGCCGACTTGCCGTCAGTCTGAGCGGGGTTAACCGGTGACTATATCTATATATATATATATATATATATATATATGCATTCAGAGAGAGAGAGACGCAGAGAGAGACATACATGCATATATAAGAGTGTATATGCGTTTTATGTACTAGTACCGCTTATAGAGCTGCCTTACAGCTATCAGGGTTTGTGTAGGCCGGTTTGCTGTTGGGGGGTTGCTTTAAAGGGGTCTTTAAAGGGTTCTTTATTTGATCCGTAAGGTTTAATGCGGGAGGTTCCTTTAAAGGGGTCCATCAACTTACCCCCAGAGACTCCAACATCCTTTAACTAAGGCCTCAAATAATGAATATGCTAGCAGGACCCCTAATATGAGGGATATTGGAGTCCCCAGACCTTCCAAAATCCCTTAACTAAGGAATATGCCTTAAGTTATAATAGGGATCCCTAATATCATTTAAGGTATATTCCTTAATTAAGGGATTTTGGAAGGTCTGGGTCTCTGGGCTATGCAAGCAAGGCCGGTGTTCTGTACTTTGCGTTCAAGGTCCCTCGGAATGCCTCAGATCTCCCAGTTTTTTAAATCCTAGCTGACACACCGTGTAACCCAGAAAAACCCTACAACATGCTTACAACTTCAGTCCCGCAAGCACCAGGCCCTAAACAAATCCCATAAACCCTACAAGCTGCTAAAGTCAAAATCGAAAACACAGCAAAACAATGCAAGGCCCTCAGAAGCCATATAATAGCTAAAGCACCCCTTTAAAGGACCCCCCCCCACAGTAAACAGGGCCCCCCGAAGGCCTCGGAGAGTTCCAGCTCGACCATCGACGAATCACCTGCAAGAATCCGGTAGAGTTGATCTCGGGTCTATAAGGGCTCCTTAAAGGGATCCATAAAGGGGTCTAGAAGGGTTCCTTTACAGGGATATACAAGGGCTCTTGAAAGGGATCTAGAACTTGGAGGCCCTTTTGACTTAGTAAGTCTACTTAGTATCCCCTAGAAACCCTATTATAATCCCCATAACCCACCTTACTAACCCTACTAGCTCAAAAGGGCCTCCAAGTACAGGGCTTGATTTTTGGGGGGCCCAGGCAAGGATCCCGTAGAGCTGATCTTGGGGGGGGGGGGGGGGCTTGTTTTCCTTTAAAAAGGTACTGTAAGGGCGCTTTTTAAGGGATCTTTAAGCCCCAGCCGAAAAAAGAGTAACCTTTTCAAGGATGGTAGGATTATATAAACCCCAACAGGTTTGGGGCTTGTTTTGTTTCGGTTTAGGGCATCAGGGGTTTCGGGTTTGGGGCTTAGGGCTTTATAAGCCAGAAAGTTGGAATATGATTATCCTAAACCCTTTATGGTAAATTATAGGGCATCCTACCCTGAAACCATATTCCAACTTTCTGGAGTTCCCTTTAGGGGTGGAAGCTTGGGGTTTAGGGGTGCGGGGCTTCGGGGCGATTGCGCGCAGCCAGCTCGGGGGTTTAAGGTTTGTAAACAGGGAGTTTCCGAAAATAGGGGGACCTAATGTAGGGATCCTTTAAGGGTTCCTTAAAGGGATCTATAAGGGCTCTATAAAGGGTCTAGGGTTTAGGGTTTAAAGTTTCCGAAAATAGGGGACCCTAATATGGTACCCTACATAGTAGGATCCTAACTATAAGGGTCCCCCAATAGGGTACCCCTAATTTTCGGAAACCCCCAACAAGCTTTGGACAGCTAAAGGGAGCTGCTGGCACTTTGAAGCCACGGCAAGACTGCACTGAATGCACACCTACAGCTTGAAGCCTCAACCTTCGCCGCCGACTCTGCGGACCTTACCCAAACCCTGAAAGTCCTACGCCCAAAGCATGACCGAAACCCTGACCCCATTGATATAGAGCATTTATAACCAGAATAGAGCTTGCAGGGTATATGTTACTATACTTATAAGTTAAGAAGGAATAACTACCAATTCCTGGGTTCTTGCTGAGGAACTTAATTCAAGGTACCACAATAAAAACTTATAGTGAATGGTATGGTTTCCTTAGTATGGCAACTCAAATCTACTCCTCAACAAAAACCCAGATTACTCAATGCACGGGTCTTGTTAATTGGAATAGGGTTTTGGGGTATATAATACAAGTTGCTACACTTGTAAAAAAAGGAGCAGCCCGAAATAGTGCAGGCACAAAACATTCAGGCCCCTACATTAGGTTCCCAGACCCACTTGAAGGGTCGGGGGACTTAGTAACTGGTTATTTTAGGGACTTGTAAGTACCATAACCCCTTAGGGTCCCTTTTGGGGTACTTACTACCTACTTACTCAGTCCCCCGACCCTCCAAGCAACCAATAGAAGGGCTCGGGGGGCTGGGGAAGTTCCGGGGCTCGCACCAGTGGTCACTTTGTACCGTTGATCCTGGGCGGTTTAGGGTTTAGGGTCTCAGGGTTTAGGGTCTTAGGGTCTTAGGATCTTAGGATTTAGGGTCTTAGGGTCTTAGGATCTTAGGGTTTAGTTTTTTTGAGCTCCATTTCTCCCATCCCTTGCGGTCTGCGCAGAGGCTACACAGGCGGTTTAGGGTTTCGGGCTTTCGGCGGGGATGAAGTGTGGCACAGTATAGTATGTAAAGAATAGTATAGGATAGTAAAGTATAGTACAGGACAGTCTAGAAAAGTATGGTGCAGTAAGGTATACTATAAGATAGTACAGCATACTATAACAAGTTATATGATTACAGTGGAGCTTACTACAATACTTCCTTAATGCCCATAATAAGGACGTAATAAGGCCTACTTGAGGAAGTATAGTCCCCTACCCCCCCTCCCCCTTACCCCCCTCAGGGTCCCCATGATATACTATACTAGCTGGGGCTGAGGGGCATGAGGCCGAGAGTTTAAGCGTTCAAGGCTTATGAGTTTATAACATGCTTTACTATCTTACACTATCTTGCACTCTGCTATACTGTACGATTTGGGGTTTAAGTTTCAGGTTTTTGTGGTTTAGGGGTTAGGGCGGTTTGGGTTCAGGCGTGTCCCGAACTGATTTGCCAAGTGCAGGACTACAGCTGGGAGGTGAAGAACAAGATTCACTTGGAACAGTGCCGTAGATGCGGAGGCTATCGCCCACAAAACAAAAACGCTGTTCCTGATGTTCCCTCACGGACATGCCGGTTGTACACTCGCCAATACTACTGGCTCCAGGCGACATGGGTCTCATCAGTGCCCTTATGTTAGGCGCTATGCAACAGGAAACCCTATCATCCACATATAGTGCCACACTAATCCTTGCATTTCCTCCGCCATTCGCCTATGAGGCAGGCCTCGCCAAACTAAAGGCGGTGCATGACTTCAGATACACACCGGCAACATGGGAGTTTCCGAGAAGAGGGGATTCTAATACAGTACCCTAAAGGGTAGGATCCTTATTATTATAAGGACCCCATGATAAGGTACGCCTAATCTTCGGAAACTCTCAACCCTAGACCCTTTATAGAACCCCTATAGATCCCTTTAAGAAACCCTTTAAGGATCCCTTGAAAGTTACCCTTGAGGATTCCTTTCAGGAACCATGGTCACTGCCAGGGCGCCCCTGGCTTCATCACCAGGAAGCCACTACCCACCTGCCCAGAACTTCCAAAATCCCGTCATTAAGGAATATACCTCAATTCATATTAGGGGTCCTCTTATAATTTAAGGATTAGGGGTCTTCTTATAATTTAAGGATTAGGGGTCCTCTTATAATTTAAGGTATATTCCTTAATTGAGGGATTTTGGGAAGGTCTGGGTGCATGAATATCTGACGAAAGGTTTGTAGCATAGGGGCCCTTTAAAAGGATCCTTGAGGTCCCCACTTGGAGGCCCTTTTGACTTAGTAGGGGTTCCTGTAAAGGGGTCCTAAAAGGGATCTATAGGGGTTCCTTAAAGGGATCTATAGGGTTTAGGGTTTCTTACTTGGAGGCCCTTTTGACTTAGTAAGTAGGGTTATAAGGGTTTCTATAAAGGTTCCCTTAAAGGGCTTCTTAAAGGGATCTATAGGGTTTAGGGTTTACGGTCTACTTGGAGTAGGGTTAGTAAGGTGGGTTATGGGGATTATAATGGGGTTTCTAGGGGATACTAAGTAGACTTACTAAGTCAAAAGGGCCTCCAAGCAAGGTTTCCTTTCCGGGATCTATAGGGTTTAGGGTTTAGGGTCAAGGATAGGGGCCTAAATCATTATCAATACTCTTTTGGGGGGTTCTTTGTGTTAGTTGCAGTATAAAGGGCCGCAAAACCCTATTCTAATTATTAAGGCCTATATAATAGGATCTGAGTTAGGAGCCGCTAGGGCCTGGATTCCGGAGATTATCAAGTCCAGGGGCTTGGCGGAATGACACTATCGCGTATGGCACAACTTTGTACCCAGAAGCATTGACGCATGTGGCATTCCTGAATGCCAGAACCTACAAGTACGGCCAAGTCTGGAATCGCACGTTCAATGTGGCAATGACCTCTTATGAGCATCACGACGAGACGCCTTTTCCTTTGGACGTCACATGTGGGTATGGCCGGCATGCCGAGCCATGTACTTGGGAAGCCTCGCTTCCAAAACGTCGTGGGCTGAAAAGCCCGAAGAATATCCAGGAACTCTCTGATGCACATTCTGTGTCATCGCAGACCTAGAACAAAATCAAATGCGATGGAAGCAGCAGGACAGCCCATCGTATTTCCAGAGCCTCTTCCTGCTGTCGTCCATGCCACCCTGACATTTTGGCCACTGCACATCACAGTGCCTGTGCAATCTGCATTCCCATGCACTTAGAGCATCTGTGCCGACGCCAGAGCCGCCGCCACAAATCCGACCATCTCCATGCTTGCGTCCGAAGTCGACGTTTGACCGGTTGTGGTCGTGCCGCAGGTCGGGACAGGGCTCCAAGACAGGCTCGCGTTGTTGTAGTGGCTGCTGGTGTTCACCTGGGCACACATCGGACTGGCGGAATCCGGCACGAAGTTCTGGGCACCGCCGGCAATGGAGCACACGACGTTCGTGGATGTGACATCGCAGCTCATGCCTGCATCGGGCACGACCGTGCAAGTAAAGTTGGAGTCCTCACAGCCTGCCGGACTTGCGCAGCCAAGGGAGCTGCCCTCACTGCAACTGAAGCCGAGACCGGCTGGCACATCGAGGAACCAGCCCCAAGCCGCCCTGGCTGGCGAAGCAAAGAGGCCTCCAAGCACCTGAAAAGCCATGGCGCCGGCAGCCGCAGCAACGATCTTCATGGTCATCGGAAATGTGCGAGATGCAAAGAGCGGGCTCTGGACTGCTTGGTGCTAAAATGCCTGTCGAATCAGCAGTGCAAAGCAAGAAGCTGCAGACAATTGCTAGCACGCGGTTGTGTCTTAATCTATATAAGTATTCCAAATCAGAAATGCTAGAACATTATGAAGCATCATTCAGAAGCCCCTTGTGCAGCAAGTTACTCGAAGGTAGATTGTGAAGCACACATTATGTCTGGGTCTCATGAACTTCGGGAAGCCTTCGCAGCAGTCGCTGGAGAGGGCATCGTACTTGTCAGGGTTTACTATATGCTGACAATGTGCAAAAACTAAACCCTGAACAGGTGTAATATAGGGGCCTTAGTAATTCGAATAGGGTTCTAGGGCCCATTATACCAGAACTATATTGAGGAACCCCCAGCAAAGTAGTATAGGTAATTATTAAGGCCCCTAAAATATATCAAAGATTCACCTTTTGGTTGAAGCTTCCCGCTTTCCTGTAGCAATTGCAATGTGGGCGTCGATGTAGAGTTGATTGCCGAGGAAAGGCTGACGGGTTTCGCGCGTTTAGATCGAGTCTAGGGGCTTAGCGCCTAGTCAGGGCCTGGCGGAATGACACTATCGCGTATGGCACAACTTTGTACCCAGAAGCATTGACGCATGTGGCATTCCCGAATGCCAGAACCTACAAGTACGGCCAAGTCTGGAATCGCAAGTTCAATGTGGCAATGACCTCTTATGAGCATCACGACGAGACGCCTTTTCCTTTGGACGTGACATGTGGGTATGGCCGGCATGCCGAGCCATGTACTTGGGAAGCCTCGCTTCCAAAACGTCGTGGGCTGAAGAGCCCGAATAATATCCAGGAACTCTCTGATGCACATTCTGTGTCATCGCAGACCTAGAACAAAATCAAATGCGATGGAAGCAGCAGGACAGCCCATCGTATTTCCAGAGCCTCTTCCTACTGTCGTCCATGCCACCCTGACATTTTGGCCGCTGCACATCACAGTGCCTGCGCAATCTGCATTCCCATGCACTTAGAGCATCTGTGCCGACGCCAGAGCCGCCGCCACAAATCCGACCATCTCCATGCTTGCGTCCGAAGTCGACGTTTGACCGGTTGTGGTCGTGCCGCAAGTCGGGACAGGGCTCCAAGACAGGCTCGCGTTGTTGTAGTGGCTGCTGGTGTTCACCTGGGCACACATCGGACTGGCGGAATCCGGCACGAAGTTCTGGGCACCGCCGGCAATGGAGCACACGACGTTCGTGGATGTGACATCGCAGCTCATGCCTGCATCGGGCACGACCGTGCAAGTAAAGTTGGAGTCCTCACAGCCTGCCGGACTTGCGCAGCCAAGGGAGTGGCCCTCACTGCAACTGAAGCCGAGACCGGCTGGCACATCGAGGAACCAGCCCCAAGCCGCCCTGGCTGGCGAAGCAAAGAGGCCTCCAAGCACCTGAAAAGCCATGGCGCCGGCAGCCGCAGCAACGATCTTCATGGTCATCGGAAATGTGCGAGATGCAAAGAGCGGGCTCTGGACTGCTTGGTGCCAAAATGCCTGTCGAATCAGCAGTGCAAAGCAAGAAGCTGCAGACAATTGCTAGCACGCGGATGTGTCATAATCTATATAAGTATTCCAAATCAGAAATGCTAGAACATTATGAAGCATCATTCAGAAGCCCCTTGTGCAGCAAGTTACTCGAAGGTAGATTGTGAAGCACACATTATGTCTGGGTCTCATGAACTTCGGGAAGCCTTCGCAGCAGTCGCTGGAGAGGGCATCGTACTTGTCACGGTTTACTATATGCTGACAATGTGCAAAAACTAAACCCTGAACAGGTGTAATATAGGGGCCTTAGTAATTCGAATAGGGTTCTAGGGCCCATTATACCAGAACTATATTGAGGAACCCCCAGCAAAGTAGTATAGGTAATTATTAAGGCCCCTAAAATATATCAAAGATTCACCTTTTGGTTGAAGCTTCCCGCTTTCCTGTAGCAATTGCAATGTGGGCGTCGATGTAGAGTTGATTGCCAAGGAAAGGCTGACGGGTTTCGCGCGTTTAGATCGAGTCTAGGGGCTTAGCGCCTAGTCAGGGCCTGGCGGAATGACACTATCGCGTATGGCACAACTTTGTACCCAGAAGCATTGACGCATGTGGCATTCCCGAATGCCAGAACCTACAAGTACGGTCAAGTCTGGAATCGCAAATTCAATGTGGCAGTGACATCTTATGAGCATCACGACGAGACGCCTTTTCCTTTGGACGTGACATGTGGGTATGGCCGGCATGCCGAGCCATGTACTTGGGAAGCCTCGCTTCCAAAACGTCGTGGGCTGAAGAGCCCGAATAATATCCAGGAACTCTCTGATGCACATTCTGTGTCATCGCAGACCTAGAACAAAATCAAATGCGATGGAAGCAGCAGGACAGCCCATCGTATTTCCAGAGCCTCTTCCTGCTGTCGTCCATGCCACCCTGACATTTTGGCCACTGCACATCACAGTGCCTGTGCAATCTGCATTCCCATGCACTTAGAGCATCTGTGCCGACGCCAGAGCCGCCGCCACAAATCCGACCATCTCCATGCTTGCGTCCGAAGTCGACGTTTGACCGGTTGTGGTCGTGCCGCAAGTCGGGACAGGGCTCCAAGACAGGCTCGCGTTGTTGTAGTGGCTGCTGGTGTTCACCTGGGCACACATCGGACTGGCGGAGTCCGGCACGAAGTTCTGGGCACCGCCGGCAATGGAGCACACACGACGTTCGTGGATGTGACATCGCAGCTCATGCCTGCATCGGGCACGACCGTGCAAGTAAAGTTGGAGTCCTCACAGCCTGCCGGACTTGCGCAGCCAAGGGAGCTGCCCTCACTGCAACTGAAGCCGAGACCGGCTGGCACATCGAGGAACCAGCCCCAAGCCGCCCTGGCTGGCGAAGCAAAGAGGCCTCCAAGCACCTGAAAAGCCATGGCGCCGGCAGCCGCAGCAACGATCTTCATGGTCATCGGAAATGTGCGAGATGCAAAGAGCGGGCTCTGGACTGCTTGGTGCCAAAATGCCTGTCGAATCAGCAGTGCAAAGCAAGAAGCTGCAGGCAATTGCTAGCATGCGGATGTGTCTTGCGACAGCAGTTGCTCCGTCGCTTTCTTGCGGTGCCTGCACGAGGATGTCGATGCGAAGTGGATTGTCCTTCCGCGAGTGCACGAACGTTCTGCAAGCCCAGCAAAGAGTAATGTAGAAACCTGATTAAGAAAGCGTGGGCCTATAGCCCCACAATAGTAGGATTCGTACAAGGAACCGTCATAAAGGCCCAAGGTTTCTTAGTCAGGTTCCTGCATTGTCCTAAAGTAACCTCCAAGCCCGAAGCGAGCCTACTATAGATCCCTTAAAGATTTCTTTTTGGGATCCCTTTAAAATGAACCCTATTGGGTTTAGGGTTTAGGGTAATTATGAAGGAGAATCGAGTAGGGCACTGGGACGGGCAGAGAGTGGGAGGGGCGTCCTTTGGGTCGCTCGGATCTATCTTGGCAGCTAGTAGAGGGGCCTTAATAATCAGAATCGGGTTCCTTTAAAGGGGTCTACAAGGCTTCCTTTAAAGGGGTCTATAGGGTTTACTATAAGGGATCTATAAGGGTACTATAGTACAGGGGCCTCGAGTACTCAGAATAGCGTTGCTTTAAGGGTCCCTTTAAAGGGTTCAGAGTTTTAAGGTCTATAATGAGGGCTTCTTTAATAAGGGCTCTTTCTATGGGCCTTGGTGGTTAGAATAGTGTTCCTTCTAAAGGGTTCTTAAACAGGGATCTACAAGGGTTGCCATAATCAAGGAGTAATGACAGGGTTTAGCGTAGGGCCCGTAATCATTGGAATAGGGTTTTGGGGCCCATTAGATATTATGATTAATTAAAACAAGGATTCCCCAAAGTAGTCTTGGTAAGTATTTAGGCCCCTAGAGTACTAGGATACCCAGTAACCTAAGAATAAACAAAAAGGCCTCTCTTTTTGGTATTGGGTAACTTTATAAGGAACCTAGGACTACAACAAGGGAATAAGGGTACTACTGGGCATCCTAGAGTATGTTGGCAGCTACATTTCAATTAAAGCCGGCTCAGGGTTAGAGGGTTTCTCTCCCATGAAATCCTTGCTGGGTCAGCCGCACAAGGAAATTCCCAGTCCTCCATGAGCCCCGTCGGGAAGCGAAACCTAGGCTCCGGCATTCGTTTCGCAAGACTAACAGAGCTCTATAGTGGGCTTTTGGCTATAGAACTACGGTTTGGGGTTTAGGGTGTTTTGGCTATAGAATTCTTCGGAGACGGACTTTAACTACAGGATTCTGAGAAAAACGAAAATGTTCCGTGATAGTTCAAACCTTTATCGAGATGATGGCTTTCGGTCTCGTAGGGATTTAGGTTTAAAGGCTTTGACTATGCAAAAGCTTAGTTGCTACCCACTCATCAACGAAGTGTATCTATAGGCCGCTACGAAAGGCACCCGAATATGTAGTAGGCAATATCCAACATGTTAGGGTGGCAAGTTTCCAGAGTTTGCGAACGCCCTGAATTCTTCCAATCCCTGAATCCAACAATAAACCTTCAGATCTAGTCGGATCCACACAGAGTGCTTCAACTGCCTTTCAATGTGACTAGTAGGACCCCAATATGAAGTTGCCTTGGTCTAGATAACCTACCAAATGCTGGGGACTGCAACAAGGAAATCATAACAAGGAGCCCTCAAAAAGAAGGTTTCGTGAGTGAGGATATAATTCAGTGCTCGTGACAAATGATGCTGATATGGGTCTATATAAATAAGGACGCAAAAGAACCTTATTGGTAATCATTTCGGCTTCTTTAACATGTGGAAGCAGTTTCCATAAACCCAAAGCCCAAAATGCTGAAACCCAAACCCTAAAGCACCCCTCAGGATGGTTTGTTTGGGGTTGTGAACCCTTACGGGAACTCTTTAGCGAGCCCTTCAGAGTTACTCGCACCCTAAACCCTAAACCCCTAAACCCTAAACCCTAATCCCAAACCCGCAAGTCTCATGTCTCCGAAACCCCGAGGACGCCACGGAAAGCGGCCGGCGTCCAGCTGCGCCTGCCTAGCGCAATTAGAAAGATCCGGGTCGAGGGCTCAGGGCTTATAGGGATCAGGGTGTAAGGTCTATAAACCCTACACCCTAAACCCTATAGACGGTCTATAGGGTTTAGGGTGTAGGGTTTAGGGTCTACAGGGTTTTAGGGTCTAGGGTGTAGAGAGGGAGCTGAATTCTGGGGGGTTCGCCTACTTTAGGGTTTCATGGGGGTTGTCATATGGGAGCCTCGCACTACGTAGACCAGGGCTTTGGTGGGTTTTGAACTACAAATACCCAGTATCACCGATTGAAGAATTCGAGAAGAGGGATTCTTGGCCAACATATCCTAACAAAACACGGGGTAGCAGTAAGGCTGCAAGGATGTCCCTTTGAGGAATTTTAGAAAGGCCCCAATCTTATAGCACCCTTTCATCGAATTTCATCGGACCCCCTGGAACCCCTCAACCCGTCAAACCCCCCAGAGACTCCAATATCCCTTAATTAAGGAATATTCCTTAAATCATATTAGGGATCCTATTATAATGTAAGGTATATTCCCTAATTAAGGGAAATTGGAGTTCCCTGGGCCCAAACCCCAAACCTGGCTTTCTAGAATGCCCAGTAGCCTAGGAATGGAATGGGCTCCCTTTGTGATATTGGGTAGAACCGTATGAGGAACCTAGGACTGCAAAAAGGAATAAGGGCACAACTGGGCATCCTGGAAGGGGTACCTTATCTTGGGGTCCTTATAACAAGGATCCTACTACTTAGGGTACTATCTTAGGTTACCCTCGTTTGGGCATCCTGGCTTCAGGTTTTCTTGAGCCTCCGCACATTGCCCTTCCGAATCGAGAGCACCTTGGCAGCCGCTCTTCCAGCTCACTACCCAGAGCTTCCAAAATCCCTTAATTAAGGAATATACCTTAAACCATAATATGAGCCCTAATATGAATTAAGGTATATTCCATACTTATCGGGTTTTGGAAGGTCTGGCTACTGCAAGGGCGGTTTTTATGCTTTGCCCAATTGGTAGCCAGTAGGGTCCCGTGGGTATGTCCCAGGGTGGAATATTAGTCGTAAGCCTTAACTCGTGTACAATATATATATATATATATGTATATATACACATGGGGACGAGAAAGGAAATACTCCACAACTTCAAACTCCTTTGTTGGATCGCGTCCTCGAGGAAGTTTCGCTGAACTTTGGGTGTGGGCTTAGAAGGTTCGGGCTGGTAGCTACTTCAGCAACCTCAAAGTCAGTGTGCGCTTGCTAGAGCCCCTCGAAACCGCTGGAGAAAACTCAGGTGGTTAACATAATGTTTTGGGGCATTATTTAATGCAACGAGAATACGGCTACTAATAAGAATACCTCCAGAAGGTTTTTGGTAAGTATCTAGTAGTGGTCGTCGTCGTAGGTCAGCCGCTTAGTTACTGTTTAGGGTTTAGAGCTTATGCATAGAATTGAAGCCCCCGGCCCTCCGCCCAACACAGCAACAGTTATCAACTAAATCCTAAACTCTCCACCGTCCCAAAAAATGAGGCGCTCGCTGCATCATCCGGGATTCCACTCTTGGAAAGCCTTGGTATCGGTAGCACAGCCTCTACTTTCAAGGGTGGGGAGCCAGCAAGTATAGCTATTTAAGCTTCTACATACCCTAGGCCAGTTAAGGTCATGTTCACACTACTTACCTACTCAAACTCCGCCAGACGAGGTCTTCCGGTTCACCAATACTTTGACTGAACTACACTACGGCGACGACGACTACTCCTCCTCCTCCTACTACTTGCTAGGCACCACAGAACGCTACTCCAAGAACCCTAAACTCGAAACCCTAAACCCTGAACCCCTCAACCCTAAACCCTAATCCCTGAACCCCTCAACCCTGAACTCGAAACTTCCTGGATCTCCGATCAGGGCAGTTACGACCTCAGCTAGAACGCGCTTACGAAGTCCTCGGTCGGATATTGTCAACTCGTGCAAAACTTATGCCTGAACCTTCCAGTTCTTATCGTAAGGTTATGGGGTGTACTGTAATAAACTTAACAGTATACTGAACTATTCCCACCCCCACGTTGTCAGAACCCCATCAACACATAAGGCCCAGTGTACATCTTCACTAAAACATGGATGCGTCATAGACTGTCTTGATCAGGGTAAGTAAAGAGAATCTCGGCAATAGCCTTAAGATGCTTTTGGATATCGACCCATATCATTACTTATAAGCTGCCCCCAACCTGTAATAGGGACTATAAGGATTGTATTAGGGCCCTATTATACTCCTATTATACGACTATTACAGGGTGGGGGCAGCTTCTCAATCATTACGATGAAACTTGAGCTGCCATGTCCACGGCAGAGTGCTTTCAGACTCAGCGATGTAATAGTCGCTCAACGTCTCTCTCAACAATTGGGTGGTTGACAAAATTAGGGTCCCTTTTTGGGGCACCTTAAATACTAGGTGCCGTATTATAAGATGGACCCCCAAAAGGACCAACATTTTAACAACCACCCAATTCAAGGAAGAGACTCTCTCGTCTCTGGGGCGCCAGCAGCTTAACTTCCATGGCGCTGGAGCATGGTACTTCAAAAGCGGGAAAATCTTAACATGGAAGAGATCCTCATCCTCTGCATTGCACCGGGGTTGAAGGCTACGCGGAGTCGAGCATGACTTTTGGGTTGGACGTCTGTGGAAACTTCAACCCACAAATTGTCTAAACGTAGCAGGCTGGGCGTTGTCGGAGAATCCTTAGCAAGTCGAAGACGCTATGTGGAGCAACAGCTGGCGGCAGCAACAGTGTTAAAGTTGGCTGGTTTGTCCAGAAGGTATCCGCCAAGCTCCTGGCCCTGTAGACAACAGCCTGCTGGCATGCATGAGATCCTGAAACTTCCACAGGCAGTA